GCCGCGACCTCGCGGAGTCCTTCGACGTCGACTTCGACCGCTTCGTGCGCACGACGGAGCCCGCCCACGCCAGGGCCGTCGAGAAGCTCTGGAAGGCGTTGGAGGCCAACGGCATGATCTACCTCGGCTCCTACGAGGGCTGGTACTGCGTCCGCGACGAGTGCTACTACACGGAGTCGGAGCTCGTCGACGGCAAGGCGCCGACGGGCGCCGACGTCGAGTGGAAGGCCAAGGAGCCGTCCTACTTCTTCAAGCTGAGCGCCTTCCGGGAGAAGCTCATCGACTTGTACGAGGGCGACGAGGACGCGCTCGGCCCGAAGAGCCGGCGGAACGAGGTCCTGTCGTTCCTGAAGGGCGAGGAGCTCCGGGACCTGTCCATCTCGCGGACGACCTTCAAGTGGGGCCTGAGCGTGCCCGGCGACGACGACCACGTCATCTACGTCTGGGTCGACGCGCTCGCCAACTACCTCACGGCGCTCGGCTACGGCGACGACGACGACGAATGGCGCGACATGTGGGCCGGCGCGACGCACGTCGTCGGCAAGGACATCCTGCGCTTCCACGCCGTCTACTGGCCCGCGCTCCTCTTGGCCGCGGACCTGCCGCCGCCGAAGAAGATCTTCGCCCACGGCTGGTGGACCAAGGACGGCGCGAAGATCTCCAAGTCGTTGGGCAACGTCGTCGTGCCCGCGGAGCTGCTCGCGGACTACGGCGTCGACGCGACGCGCTACTTCCTGCTCAGCGAGGTGCCCTTCGGGGGCGACGGCGACTTCTCGCGCACGGCCATGCTCGCGGCGGCCAACGGCTTCCTCGCGAACGCCGTGGGCAACCTCTGCCAGCGGTGCTGCGCGATGATCGCGAAGAACTGCGGCGGCGCCGCGCCCGCGCTGCCGGACGAGCCGACGGACGACGACGCGGCGCTCCTCGCCGCGGCGCGGGGGCTCGGCGACGCCATGCGGCCCCACGCGGACGCGCTGCGCCTCGACGGGGCGCTCTCCGAGGTCGAGGCCGTCGTCCGCGCGGCGAACCGCTACTTCGACCGCGCGGAGCCCTGGAAGCTCAGGAAGAGCGACCCGGAGCGCATGGGCGACGTCCTCGCCGTGTCCCTCGAGACGCTCCGCTGCATCGCCATCGCCTACCAGCCCTTCATGCCCGACGCCGCGGGCCGCATGCTCGCGCTCCTCGGCGTCGCCGAGGGGCCCGACCGCGCGCTCGCGGCGCTCCCGGCCGGCGGCGTCCCGGCGGGGGCGGCCCTCCCGAAGCCGAAGCCCGTCTTCCCGCGCATCGAGGACGACGAGGGCGCGGAAGGACCGCGCTCTTAGTCCGCGAGGGAGAGCGCCGTCGACGTCGCGCGCGCGGCCGCCACGCGGTCGACGTCCGGCTCGGATGCAACACGCCGGCGCCCTTAGTCCGCGAGGGAGGACGCCGCCGCGCGCGCGCCGCCGACGACGCCGCCGGCGACGTCGCCGACGCCGTCGACGACGCCGCCGACGGAGGACGCGACGCCTCGGACGAGGCCTCCGCCCAGGGCCGTCGCCGCGTCGCCGAGGCCCTGGGTCACGTTGCCCGTCGTCGCGCCGCGGACGAGCGCGCGGCCCGACGCGCCGACGCCCTCGACGACGGCGACGCCGCCGCCGACGACGCCGCCGACGACGCCCCGCACGCCGCCCGTCACGCCCTCGACGACCCGCGACCCGCCGAACTTCTCCGCGAGCGCGTCCGCGGCGTCGAGCGGCGCGAAGGCCACGGTCGTCGCGAGGCCCGTCGCGCCGCCTAAAACCGCGTCGACGGTGTCGAAGCTGAGGTTCACGAGGGACCGCAGCGCGAGGCCGTTGACGACCACCAGCACCTTGGCCCAGGAGCCCAGCTTCTTCGCGTCGACGCTCTCGTCCTCGAGCGTCACGCTGCCCAGACGCCGCCGGCCGAGCGCGCCGACGGCCTCGAGCCGCACCTCGACCCGCTTGAGCCGCGCGGCGCGGAAGACGACGCTCCGCGCCGCCGCGGCGGCGTCGGCGGCGGGTTCCGGCGCGGCGGCGGCGTCGGCGGCGTCCTCCGCGGCCGCGCCGCCGCGCGCGGCCGCGATCAGCCGGCTGAGGTTCGTGTCGCGGAACCGCGCGTCGTAGGACGCGTAGGTCAGCACGACGCCCGCGAGCTCGGCGCTCGCCTCGAGGCGCAGGCGCCGCGACCGGCCCACGCGGCGGAGCGCGAGGCCCACCGTCGCCGTCTCGACGGCCGCGAGCGCGCCGTCGTCGTCCGCGTCGCCCGCGTCCGAGTCGTCGTCGAAGGGCGACGCCGGCGGCCGCGCGGGGTCCTCGAGTACGATGCCCTCAAGGACGACGTCGGCGCGCAGGAGCGCGTCGTCGGCGCGGCGCAAGTAAACGTCGAGGCGCGGCGCGCGCGCGACGTGGAGCGCCCAGCGCGCGTTGACGATTTCGACCGCGCGGGCGACGAGCCGCTGGCGGAAGAAGTACGCGTTCGCCAGAAGGACGACCAGCGGCACAACGACGAAGCGCACGAGGGGCGCGACCAGCGCGAGGAGCAGGCGCGGCGCGGCGACGGCCAGCGCCGACGCGACGACCATGACCGCCGCGGCGCCGGCCGAGCCCGCGCCGGCCGCCGCGGCGCCGCCCCCGGGCCGCGGCGCGGCGCGGTCGAGCCCGTCCCAGAGCGCGCGGAGCTCGCCGCGCGGCGCGTCGCGCGCGCAGACGACCTCGAGCACCCTAATCCAGCGCTCCGCGTCGGCGCCGTCGAGCGCGCGGACGACGACGCTCGCCGGCGCGTCGCCGGCCTCGACGACGCGGAACCGCGCGTCGCCGAGCCGCTCGACGCGGCCGCCCGCGAGGCGCAGGCGCCCGCCGCCGCGGTCCTGCGCCGCCTCGTCGGCCCACTCGAGGCACCGCCGCCGCACGACGAAGCAGCGCCGGTTCCAGAGGACGGCGCCCTTCTTGACGAGCACGCCGAAGACGACGGGCCGCTCCGGCGGCGCGGCGGCCGCGGCCGCGGCCGGCGCGGCCTCGCCGGCCGCCGCCGCGGCGAGCGCGCGCAGCCAGCGCGCCTTGTCGGCGCCGGACTCGCAGCGGAACGCGTAGCGCGCGCCGGCGACGACCGCGACGTCGTGGCGCCCGGGCTCGTCGACGTCCTCGACCGTCGCGCCGGCGAGGTCGACGGTCCGCGGCGCGCCCGTCGACGAGTAGGCGAGCCGGCCGCGCGTGAGTCGGATTCGGCGCCGCGACCAGCGCCACTTGCCCTTTCGCAACAAGAAGCCCTCGTGGATCGGTGCGTCGGCGTCGTCGTCCGCTGCGTTGGCCTTCGGCTCGCACGGCGAGCAGAGCATCGCGTTCGAGCACTAGCGTTTAGCGCGCGCGCGTGGAACAGGGCAATTCTCACGGCGCATCACGGGCGCTCGGCCCGGCATCAATCAAACGCTTCACTATGCAACGTTGACATTATTGACGAAGTTATTGAAGGGGATGCGTGGATTATTGCACAACGACGTCGCTTCAAGCAAGGGGATATAAATCTAGATGGGGTGGCAGGCAAAACGCGAGGTCCTCCGACTGCCCGGGGCCGCCACCAGCGTTTTCTTTCTTCTTCCACGCCGCAGCGCGCGGGCTGAGTGCAACGATGGCGGGTCACGCGGCGCGGCGCGGCTGCGGAACCCTTCGACGGGGCGGGGCAGCGAGTTCGGGCTGCTGAGATCATCGCGTTGGCTCGCGAGCGCGACGGTTGTTCGGCGGCGGGACGAGAGGGCGGCGGTGTGAGCCGAGTGTGCGATATTTTCTTGTCCTTAGAGGTTGGAGGCGCCCTATGGGTACCCCCGAAGGGCTCCAGGGCCTCATGACCCACCAATTTTACGATCCCAGAGCCTGCACAGCCCCGGCGCCGACGGTGTCGCGACGCAGTTTCTCGGGCAGCGTGCAGTCGTTCGAGGTCGAGAAATTTTCTTGTCCTGAGATGCTCGAGCCCATCCATAGGTACCAACGAAGGGCTCTGCCGCGCCAGCAGACGGTCCACGACCATCATCATCGCGAACACGTACAAGAGCTGCCCCAAAACTCAATTCCTCGCGTGGCGCCAAACCGGACACGGCGCCCTCCAGCGCGCCTCGGTCTCCTTCCACCGGACCCGAACCGCCCGGACGCGTAAGTCTTGTCGCGGGCGCCTTCGCGGGGGAGCGAATACCGCTGCGGTCCGCCTGGGGCCGCGTCGACGACGGCGGCGTCGAAACATCCCCGGCCAAAAGTCGTCAACATTGCCCCAAAACGATGGGTTGCAGTACGAGGACCTCGCGGGGCATAATCTCGTTGAGCTGCCACCCCATACTATTTATTACCCCTTGCTTCGGGAATGGGCTGAGCCCAGGCCGGCGGACCGGAGGCTTTCGTTTCCCTGTGCCATGGCCGAGGAGCGGGTCCTCGACGTGCGCGAGATCGCGACGCTCGTGACGACGCTCTACGCGGACCGGCTGCCCGCGTCGTCGTCGTCGTCGGGCGTCCCGGCCGTGCGGAGCTCCACGGGCGTGTCCGAGAGCAGCGAGGAGCACGGCGTCGTGCTCATCCGCGACTCGAGCCTCAAGTCCGACGAGGCCTGGACCGAGCGGGGCTGCAGCTTCGGGTCCGGCGCGTCCGGGTCGACGTCCGCGGTGCCGCGGTGCGGCACGGACGGGAGCCTCGGGCTCGGCGCGCCGTCGCCGGAGCGCCACGGCGTCGGCGGCGGCCTGGCCGCGGCCCGGGCCCTCAGCGCGCCGCGGGCCGCGCGGCGCCGCCTCACGGAGCCGCGCGCGTCGCCGCCGCCCCTCGAGGACCCCCTGGCGGACCTCGGCGCGCGCGTCGGCTTCCGGTCCGCGTACGAACTGGGGCGGACCATCGGCCGCGGCGCGTCCTCGACGGTCGCCGAGGCGACGCGGCGGCGCGACGGCGTGCGGGTCGCCGTCAAGGTCGTGGCGCCCGCGCGCGCGGCGGGGCTCGCGGACGCGCGCGAGGAGGTGAGGATGCACCGCCTCGCGTCGGGCCTGCCCGGCGTCGTGGAGCTCCTCGACGTCTTCTTCGAGGACGGGATTTTATATTTAGTCCAGGAGCTCTGCGCCGGCGGCGAGCTCTTCGAGACCATCGCGCGCGGCGACACGTACGACGAGCGCGACGCGGCCGCGGTCACGCGGCGCGTGCCTGTGTGGAAACCAACCACCGGTTCCGGGGGTCCCGACCAACTTCACACCTCTCGATCTACGCAGGCGCGTTTTGGGCGCGCTCGCGGCGCTCCACGACGTGGGCGTCGTCCACCGCGACGTCAAGCTCGAGAATATCTTGCTGCGGTCGCCGGGCTCGAGGACGGACGTCGTCCTGGCGGACCTCGGCATCGCGCGGCGCGTCGCGCCCGGCGGCGGCGACCGGCCGACGAGCCTCGGCGGCTCCGTGCACTACCTGTCGCCCGAGGTCGTGCGCCGGGAGCCCTACGGCACGCCCGTCGACGTCTGGGGCCTCGGCGTCGCGCTCTACGCGCTGCTCACGGGGCGGCTGCCCTTCGTGGGCGCGTCGACGGCCGCGCTCTTCGACGACATCGAGCGCGGCGACGTCGACTTCGAGACGCCCGAGATGCGCCGCGTGTCGCCCGGCGGCCGCGCGGCCGTGGCGCGCATGCTCGCGCGCGACCCGGGCGACCGGCCGAGCGCGCGCATGCTCCTCGACGGCGAGCCGTGGCTCGCGGACGACGCCGCGACCGCCGTGCTCGACGAGAACATCCCCCAGCTCCGGGCCTTCCTGTCCTGGCGCGCGACGTGGCGCCGCTCCGTCCACGCCATCCGCGCGGTCAACATCCTCGCGTCGCCCTTCGCCGCGCTGCGCACCATCGCCGCGCGGCCGTCCTACGACAGCGACGCGCCGACGCCCCGCGCGCCGCCCACGCCCGCGCCGAGCCCGCTCCGCAGCGCGAGCCCCGCGCCCGTGGAGACGAACGTGCCCGATAACGTGGACTAGGCCGGGCGACTAGCGCCGCGATGCCTCCCTTGGCCGTCCCCGAGCTGAACACGAGGCGTCCGCTTGCTCCTTACGCGACCTCCGGCCCCGACGACGCGGGATCGCCCTTCCTAGGCGCGGCTCCGCGCGGCGTCGAGGTGGCGCTGGAGCGTCGGCGCGTAGAGCGGCGGGAACGCGAAGGCGCCGAGGTCCGCCGCGTAGGCGTCGCAGAGCGCGTCGATGGCCGCCGCGACGGCGAGCTTCAACCTGCCGAGGGCCGCGGGCTCGACGACGCCCGGCGGCGCCGCGGGGCCCGCCGCGCGGAGCGCGTGCTGGCACCCGAGGAGCGCCACGAGCGCCGCGGGGCAGCGGTCGCGCGACTTCGCGGCGCCCCAGGCGCCGCCGGCGACGAGCGCGGCCGCGAGCCGCGCGGCGTTGGCGCAGTGGCCGCACTCGCAGTCGGACACGCGGCCGCCGTCCGCGCGCGCGTCGGGCCGCGGGTCCACCAAATCGAGGAGCCATTTCGGCGCGCCGCGATCCGCGAGCAGCCGCGCGAGGCCCAACACGCTCCGCTTCTCGTCGGCCGCGACGCGCGCGGCGCGGCCCGCGGCCAACGCGTCCGCGAGCGCGCCGCCGGCGACGACGGCGCCGCCGCGGGTCCGCGGCGGCGCCGCCGCGGCCGCGCGGAGCTCGAGCCGGAGGCTCAGCCCGTCGAGCGCGAGGAGGCACGCGCGGAGCGCGCGGTCCCGCGCGGCGTCGCCGCCGGCGTCGGCCAACAGCCACCCCGCCGCGTCGCAGGCGCCGTCCGCGAGCGCCTCGAGCGCGAGCGTCTTCGCGCGCTTCGCCGCGAAGCGCAATTTCACGGCGTCGCCGAGGACGAGGCCGCCCGAGTCGAGCGCGAGCGGCGGCGGCGGCGCGACCCAGGACGCGAGCGCCGCGCGCTCGCCGGCGGCCGCGGCCTCCGCCGCGGCGCTCAGCGCCGCCCGGTGCTTTTCGTCTTCCGCGCGCCACGCGGGCGCGTCGCCCGCGCGCCCGAACGGGTCGCCGCCGGCCGACGCGTACCAGCCCGGCGCCCGCGCGGCCGGCGCCGGCGCCTTCCGCGGCCCCGGCTCCTGCGGCGGCGGCGCGCCGTCGCCCGCCTCCAAAGCCGCGAGCGCGACCTCGACGAACCACGGCGGGTCCGGCTTGGCGCCGCGGCGCTTCGCGGCCGCCGCGCGCGGGTCCGGCGCGCGGTCGCACGCGGCGTCGACGTCGAGCGGCCGCGCCGCGATAAAGCGCAGCCAGGCGGCCTGGAGGCCCAGGGCGACGTGCGCCGCCAGCGCGCCGAGGAAGCACGCGCGGACGCCGCCCGCCGGTCCCGCGCCCGGGAACGCGCGCGCGAGCAGGACGCCGAACGGCGCGGACCGCAGCGCCGCGAGCGCGGACTTCGCGAGCGCGTCGGCCGCGCGGAACGGCCGTCGGCCGTCGCCGCGGCCGCCGGCGGCCGCCGCGCGGACGCCGTGCGCGAGGCCCGCGACCAGGCCGCCGGCGACGCGCGCGCGCTCGGCCTCGGGCCCCGCGCACGCGCCCAGGGCGGCGCCGATGGCCGCGCCGACCACGGCGAGCGCCGACGTCGTCGCGAGCGCGCGGCGCGGCGGCGTCCGCGACCCGGCGCAGCCGTCCCAGGAAACGGCGACGGCCGCGACGGCGAAGACGCCGCACGCCATCCCGAAGCCGACGGCCTGCCGGAGCCCGACGGCGCCGTAGCAGGCCACGCGGAGCACGACGCTCAGCGCCGCGGCGCCCGCCGCGCCCACGCCCACGCCGTTGGCCACGCGCCGCTCCACGGCCTCGCGCAGCACGAGCTCGAAGCTCGGCGCCGGGGGCGGGTTGTCCGCCGCCTTCGGCGCCGGCGGCGCGGCGGTCGCCATGCGCGCGCGCGCAGACGGTGCCGCGAGACGGCGCGCCGACGGTGCCGCGCGAGACGGCGAGCGCAGCGCAAGTTGTGCGGGTGCGCAAGGGGCCGCGACGGCGCCGGCGAGCAGTCGTCCTTGCGCGCCAAAAGGTCCGTGCTGCGCGCGCCAGGTGATGTTTGGGCGGCCGAGATGATGTAGTAGGCAGTTTTTAGCTCTCCGTACTGATGGCCGCTCAGTAGCAGCCCCCCAGGAAAGCATGGACGAGCCCATGTCGCTGGAGGTGTTGAAGCAGAGCGAGAAGCGGGAGGAGGAGGCGACGGCCCGGCGGAGCTCCACGAGCCCGCGGCGGTCCCAGGTCGCCGCGCGGTCGAGCCTCGTGCCCCGCCAGGTCGACGGCCCCGTGGCGCGCATCACGCGGCCCGTCGTCGTCGAGCCGCCCGCGGGCCCGTCGCGGGCCTACGCGCGCGCGGCGACGGTCTTCCAGCGGTCCCTGCGCAAGATCACGCAGCTGCGCGTCGAGGAGCGCGAGCGGCGGCGCGCGGCGAACATCAGGGCAGCAAAAGGGTGATTCAACGTCGCTTCAACGTGAGTGTTCCGCGCGCGCTCGTTTCGGAAATAGCACCGACGCTTCGAGAGCGCTCCGAGAGATGATCGCTCGTCCAAAAATCAGCCGAAACGAGCGGAAAACGACCGAGATCGGAGCCTTTGAAGTTGGGCATGTCGCACCCTTTTGCTGCCCAGGCGAACATGCCGTTCGAGGCCGACACCGCGGGCAGCCGCTTCAAGAAGGTGCTGCGGGACGCGCTGCGCGTCTTCCCGACGAAGAACCCGGCGGCCCTGCGCGAGGCCATGCAGAACGACAGCAGCTCCGAGGAGGGCAGCGACGACGACGACGACGGCTTCTCGGACGCGGGCGAGGAGATGGCGCTCCTCGTGGGCGAGAGCGAGGGCAAGGCGCGCGACGCCTACCGGGCGACCTGCGCCGAGAAGCTCGTGCTGCCGTCGAGCCGGGCCCTCGTGTCCTTCCGCGCGGGCGCGTGCGACGTCCGGAGCACGCACTTGGGCGACCGCGCGGTCGAGGCGCTCGCCGCGGCCGTGGCGTCCCACGGCAAGCTCGCGAAGCTGAACCTGGCGTCGAACGGCGTCGGGCCCGCGGGCTTCGACGCGCTGGCGGCGGGGCTCGCGGGCGCGGGGCACGGGCTCCTCGCGGTGTGGAAACCAACCACCGGTTTGGGTGGTCCCGACCAAACTTGAGAATTCTCGAGCTCGGTCACATCGAAGTTGATTCGGCTGATTTTTGGACGGATCGATCGCTCTCGTCGAGTTCTCGAGGCCCAGCCGAAGAGCCTGTGTCGAAACATTCGAAGACGCTCACATTGAAGTCGGGTTGAAGATTTGGTTCCACGCAGGCTCCTCGAGGCGGACCTCGGCGGCAACCGCGCGGGCGACGGCGCGCTCGCGCGCGTGGCCCTGGCGCTCGGCGCGCACTGCCCGCGGCTGCGCACGCTGTCCCTGGCGTCCTGCGGCATGTGTGACGGCGGCGCCGGGGCCCTCGGGCGCGCGTTCCGCTGCCACGCGGACCTCGAGGTCTTGGACGTGTCCGGGAGTCGCATCACGTCCGCGGGCTGCCTCGCGCTGTCCGCGCTGCTCCGGGGCGCCGGCTCGGCGGAGCCCGCGGGCCGGGGTCCGCGCGACGGCGGCGTCGTGAGCCTCAACGCGAACTGGAACCTGCTGGGCGACGACGGCGCGGTCGCGTGCGCGGTCGCGGGCGTCGCGGCGCCGACCTGTGTGCAAATCAAATCTTCAACCCGACTTCAATGGCGCGTATTCGAATGTTTTGACACGGGTACTTCCGCTGCGCTTCGAGAACTCGACGAGAGCAATCGATCCGTCCAGAAATCAGCCGAATCGACTTCGAATTGACCGAGCTAGAGAATTTCAAAGTTTGGTCGGGACGTCCCAGCTCACTGGTTGATTCGCACACAGGCGCCGACGGCCGTGCTCCTCACGCTGGACCTCTCCTACAACGCGCTCGGCGACGCCGCCGGCATCGGCGTCGCCCGAGCCCTGCGCACGAACCACACGCTGCGGCTCCTGGACCTGTCGCGGAACCGCCTCGGCGCGCCGTCCGCGGCCGCGTGGGCCGGTGCCGTCGCCGCGGGGCGCCACCTCGCGACGCTGAAGCTGGGCTGGAACCGATTGGGCACGGCGGGGGCCCTGGACATCATCGCCGCCTGCGCCAAGGCGCCGCCCGTGGGCCGCACGGTCGCGCCGAGCCCGCTCCACACGCTCCGCCTCGAGAACTGCTGCGGCGCGGGCCACGAGCACGCGCTTTTGGAAGCCGTGCACACGGTCGTCGCCTTCCTGAGCCGGCTGAACCGCTCCGCGCCGTCCATCGTCGTCGAGTTCCCGGACCGGCACCGCACGGTGGTCCGCGACTGCGAGTACGGACCCGCGTGGAAATCTTCAACCCGACTTCAATTTGCGCGTATTCGACGGTTTCGACGCAACTTGTTCTAATTTTCGTAGAGAACTCGACGAGAGCAATCGATTCGTTCAAAAATCAGCCAAATCGACCTCGATTTGACCGAGCTAGAGATTTCTGAAGTTTGGCCCCGACCCCCCAGCTCACTGGTTGATTTCCACGCAGGTACGGCGACGACGAGCTCACGTTCCTCTCCGGCGCGCGGCCGCGGCTCGGGAGCGACGACCTGTCGATCGCGACGTCGCCGTCCATGGACGAGCTCACGGGCGGGCCCACGGCGCCCGTCGCCGACCGCGCCGACGACGCCGACGACGGGAGCCTCGCGGACGCGTCGCTCGGCGGCGCGAGCGCGAAGACGCTGTCGACGCACGCGTCGTGGCTCTCGCGCGAGGGCGACCGGCGCAAGGCGCGGCGGCGGCCCTTCAGCCGCATGCTCGAGATCCCCGCCGACGCCCTCTCGAACCAGAAGTTCGCGCCGCCGGCGCCCCAGAACGAGCACGGCCGCGGGTCCATGACGGCCGCGGGCCGCCGGTCGCTCCGCGACGGGCCCGGCCGCGGGTCGCTCCAGGGCGCGCCCGGCGGCCGCGCGTCCATGCAGCGCGGGTCCTTGAACGGCGGCGGCAACCGCGGGTCCCTCAACGCCGGCGGCGCGTCGCGGGGGTCGTTGAACAGCGGCGGCGGCCGCGCGAGCCTCCAGCGGCTCCAGAGCGGCCTCCAGCGCGGGTCCCTGAAGCAGGCCTCGGCGGCCATGGCCGCGCTCGGCGGCCTCCAGATCGGCCGCCAGTCCAAGGTGAGCCGCCAGAAGTCCATGGCGCGCGGCGTCTCCGTGCTCGGCGGCCCGGAAGCCGCGCGGAACCCGTTTCGGGGGGTCTCCGACGCGCGCGCGCACGCGGGGCGAGCGCTTCGGGTTTCCGGTCGCGGACGCGCCGCTCGTCGAGCTCCCGCGCGCGCGCCGACGCGCGCGGACCGCAGGCCTGAAGCCCGCGGACGGGGGCGCGACGTACGACCGCGTGTCGTCGATGCAGACGTGGAGCCGGCGCAAGGACGAGACGTCCTACTTCAACATCGAGGCGCTGGACCGCCTCGCGGCCGCGGACTTCACGTTCCTCGTGGCCCACGGCGCGCTGCGCGACGAGCTCGCGGCGAAGCGCGTGCTCCTGCCGTCCGACGACCGGTCGCCGCCGAAGCCGCCCAAGGGCGGGCGGCGGCGCACGGACCGCCGCGCGCCGCAGAGCGACGGCTCGCGGTCCAGCGTGATCCTGAAGAAGCCCGTGTCGCCGGGTCTGGCGCGGCTCGAGGACGTCTTCGCGAAGCACCACGCGGCGCTCTGCCGCGTCTTCCGCTTCTTCAGCGCGGCCTTCTCGCCGGACCCGCGGCTGCCCATCGTGCGGCTCCACCGCTTCGCCTTCCTCGAGCTGCTCGAGGCCCTGGGGCTCGTGGACCGGCGGCGCGTCGCGTCGAACGTCGCGGCCGTCGACTTCGCGTTCGACCGCTGCGCGTCGCTGGACCCCTTCGCGGGCCGGCTGGCCGGCGACGCGCCGGCGGCGCCCGCGCCGGACCCGGCCCAGCCCGAGGGCGCCGACGCCCTCGAGCAGCTCGGCGGGGCCGTGCTCGCGGCGGGCGCCGCGCCGAAGACGTCGCTCGCGCGGTCCGAGTTCGTCGCCGCCGTCGTCCTCTCCCGCGCGGAACTCGTCCATCCGACTTCAATGTGCGCGTCGTCGAACGGAGTGCACCAGACTCGTTCATCGGGTTTCGAGAACTCGATGAGAGCACTCGATCCGTCCAAACATCAGCCGAAACGACGTCGATGTCACCGAGCTCGAGCATGTCAAAGTTCGGGCGGGACGTCCCGAACCGGCGGTCGATGTCCGCGCAGGTCCTCTACGTCGCGCGCCTGCTCCGCGACGACCTCAGCGCGCCGGCGCCCGAGGCCAAGGCGGCCCCGCAGCCCGCGGACCGGCCCCGGCTGCCGCCGGCGACGGGCCCCGCGCGGCGCCGGAGGAGCTCGAATCTGACGCCGGCGATGCTCCTGGGCCTCGACGCGCCCGCGGCGGCCGACGCGCCGCGGGCCGGCGGCGGCGGCGACCGGGGCGTGCTCTTCCCCAAGGTCCTGGCGTCGGTCCTCGAGGGCGCCTTCGCGCGGCTCCACAAGGCGCGGCCGCGCGCGCTCCTGGACCCGGACACGTTCCGGCGCCACGCGCTCTACTCGCCGGAGGTCGACGTCGCCCTGAAGCCCCACGCGCGGCCGCTGAGCGAGCTCTACAGCGCCTACAAGGACGGCCCGGACCACGCGTCCGTGCTCATGGGCGTCGACGGCTGGCTCCGGCTCCTCCACGGCGCGGGCCTGCTCCGGGGCGACGCGCGGCCGCGCCACGACCTGCCCCGCGACGACGACGACGACGACCGCCCGGGCAAGCCCCGCTTCACGGACCGGCCCGAGCGGCCCTACGAGGGCGACCTCACGGAGGCCGACGCGCGCTGCTGCTTCGCGTACGCGCAGGTGCAGACCGGCGGCGACGACGGCGGCAAGGAGAAGGGCCGGCGGAAGAACACGGACGAGTTCATCACGCGCATCGACTTCGTCGAGGCGCTGTGCTGGCTCGCGCTCATGAAGCCGCTGCCGTCCGCGCGCGCGCTCACGCACGCGTGGGAGCCGGGCACGTCGCTCGAGGATTTCGTGGAGGTCCTCGACGAGCCCGACGTCATCAACTCGCCGGACCTGCACCACTTCATCGACATGCCCAAGCCCCTGCCCCAGACGCCCCGGGACGCCGCCTGGCTCTCCCTCGAGTCCCTCGTGATCAAGATGCTCTTCGTCGTCTACCGGAGGGTCGCGCGGGCGAACCCGGCGCTCGAGCACGTCTGCCTCTCCATCGGCCAGCCCGCCTGCGAGCGCCAGCTCGAGGCCCTCGTCGCCGCCGGGCTCGGGTGAGGGGGGATGCGTAACCCGGGGAAGACGGGCGCGCCGCGGCGGGCGACCATCACGCCTTCGGACGAACACCGCGGACGTCGCGCGAGGCATATAGGAAATGAGCCGTAGTGATTATAATTGCCCAACGTATATATCATAAACGATGCGAGCCATTCGTTTTAAAGTTTGCATCTTCTTCAATATTGGCTGTGCACTCACAGCCATTCATATCCCAAAGTTCATCGAGCTCAGTGAAGTACGGGCGCGCCGCGGCGCGCCTTCGGACGAACACCGCGGACGTCGCGCGAGGGAGGGGGGGGATGCACTTACACAGGCGGGGGCGACCTAGAGGAAGAGGCGGATGGGCGTGCCGTGGAGGACGAAGACCTTGGACTTGTTCCACATGTAGCCGCCGAAGACGCCGGGCTTGGAGAGGAGGCGGGAGAAGAAGTTGAAGACGGACATGCCCAGCCCGACGAAGAACATGACGGTCATGACGACCCAGTCGTTGTTGCCGAACTCGCCGCCGCCGGGCTCGCAGCGGTCGAGGACGGCCTTGAGCGTCTCGGGCTTGGCGCCCGGGCCGCGCTGGCGGAACCAGCACGACCACGACGGCAGGTACCACCACTGGAGGAACTTGAGGGGGCGGAGGAAGGACGGCGCCGACGGCGTGCAGCCGATGAGCTTGGCCAGCGACTCGGAGAAGGACGGCCAGTCCACGAGGGACGTCAGGTGCGGCGTCGCGAAGTAGAACGCCGTCTCCGCGTCCGCCTCCTCCTTCGTGCGCTTCGCGACGTCGTCGGGCAGGGCCTTGTCGCCGCTCAGCAGCATGGCGTGGTAGCGCGCGAGGAGCTCGGCGCACTGGGGGATGCCGCCCTGGTGGGGCCGCGCCCAGCCGATGAACGCGAGGTCCTTGCCCGTCGTCGGCGGGAAGCAGTGCTTGTACCACGTCCGCGGGCAGGGGCAGACGCCCTCGGCCTCGAGCCAGGGGAAGCCCGTCTTGTAGCCCGTGCAGCAGACGACGACGTCGAGGCCGGTCAACGTCTTGGAGATCGCGGGCAGGTGCTCCGTGTCGTTGACGAGCGTCGTCTCCGGGAACGTCACGGAGTCCGCGCCGAAGACGGCCGTCTTCGAGACGACCATGTCGAGCTGGCCCTTGCCGACCATGCCCGCGAAGCGCGAGTTCTTCGTGACCCAGCCGATCTGGTCGCCCTGCCAGAAGGCCTTGGACTTGTTCGGGTCGTCCGCGGGCAGCGACCGGTAGTAGTGGTGGCCCCAGATGCCCGTCATGATCATCGCGGGGTTCGTGTGGCTCTTGTCCGTCCAGAGGCCCGTGCGCAGGATGCCGTAGAACCAGAGGGGGGCCATGTTGGCGATGCGCGACGTCGTCACGGCCTCGAGCATGTCGAGCGCTTTGGCCTTGCTCCAGAGCGACTCCGTCTTCATCGCCTCGAACTCGTCGTGGTGCCGGTCGTTGACGGCCCAGTTCACGAAGCGCGGCGCGATCATGAAGGGTCGCCGGCTCCAGCAGGTCACGTGCTTCGCCGTCGTCGACAGCTCCGACGAGATGTCCGCCGCGGACTCGCCGGTCCCGATGACGAGGCACGTCTTGCCCGCGAAGTCGCTCGCGTTCTGGAACTCGGACGAGTGGAGCTTCTCGCCCTCGAAGCCCTCGGCGACGCCCTTGATGCACTTGGGCGTCGCGTTCGACCCCGTGGACACGACGAGCGCGTCGGCGTCGAAGGCGACGACGGAGCCGTCGTCGCGCGTCGCCTCGACGCGCCACTTCTTCGCCGTGCCCGTGCCGTACGACGCTTTCGTGACGGCGTGGCCGAACTTGATGCAGTCGCCGAGGCCGAAGGCGGCGCTGTAGCGGTGCAGGTACTGCGCGTACTCCTCCTTGCGCGAGTACTTGACGTAGGCCTCCTCGCAGGGGAAGTCGCTGTAGGCCATGAAGACGTTGCTCACCGTGAGGAAGAGGTCGTCGTAGGAGCTCTCGCGGAGCGTGCTGAAGACGCCGCCGATGACCTGCGACTTCTCGAGGCACACGACGTCGTGGCCCGCCTCGCGCAGCTCCTTGGCGGCCACGAGGCCGCAGGGGCCCGCGCCGATGACGACGCAGCTCTGCTTCATCTCGGCGAGCGTGGCGGTGCGGACCGTTGGCGGGTCCGGCGCGGAGGCTCGGGTCGTCGGGTCGGCGGCGACGAGCTGATGTCAACACGGAGTCCCGAGGCTTTTTCGACGTGGCTTACGTTTCCGCGGCGAAAAAGCTGCGGACGATGAGGGGTAAAAAGTCAATGTTGAAGCGCGAAAAACACTCGGGCAGCCACAGCTGCCACGCTAGACGCCACACGAGTGCTCGAAACGATGACCAGCGCGCGACCCGCGCCCACAGCGACACGCGCGTCGCCGGACGAAGCGTCACCTCTCCCACGCGCAGGCGGCGTCGGCATCGCGGCATGCGTGCTCATGGGTGCGTCGGCCGGCGAGCGATGGAGTCGCCGCGCTCGAGCTTCGTCCCCCGCGCAGCCGAATGGGCGATGATGCACATCATGGCCGGCCTTCTGACCATCGGCGACGGCCTGAGCGGGAATATCGCCGAGTACTACAAGAAGGTCGCGGGGAAGCTGGGCATGAGCCCGAAGATCAAGGTCTTCGACGACGTCCAGGCGCAGGGCGGCTGCAACGACGACAACGGCAAGGGCTACCCGTACCTGATGAACCGCGTCTTCATCCAGCACTCGCTGAACCTCTTCTTCGTCGGTGCGTCGCGCCGCGCGCGCGCGCCGTCGCAGCGCCGCCTCGCAGGCGTCGAGGCCTGGGTCGCCGTGGCCTGCATCGCCGTGGGGTCGCGCTGCGTCCTCCTCGCCTGCATGCCGCCGTTCCTCTTCGACGTGGGCTACTGGGTCGCGATGGACATCCCCGACATCGGCGGCCCGCCCGGCGCGGTCCAGACCTACATCGTCTCCACCGCCGTGATCTGTGTGGAAACCAACCGCTGGTTCGGGTGGTCCTGACCAAACTTGAGAATTCTCTAGCTCGGTCAAATCGAAGTCGATTCGGCTGATTTTTGGACGGATCGATCGCTCTCGTCGAGTTCTCGAAGCCCAGCCGAAGAGCTTGTCTCAACACATTCGAATACGCTCACATTGAAGTCGGATTGAAGATTTGGTTTCCACGCAGGCCGTGATCCTCGCGACCGTCGCCCTCAAGGACGAGTACCCGAACATCAACGACGGCGAGTACTTCCTCGGCCTCGCGCTCCCGGTCCTCTTCATGCTCGTCGCGGCCGCCCGCCTCGTCGCCGGCGCCGCGGGCATCATGCCGTCCGTCTGCGACAAGGTCGGCTCTGCGGCGCCGCTCTCGACCTCGTAGGCGGGCGCGGCCCGCTCCCCCCCCCCCGGCCGTTTTCCACTCGTCTTGACTGATTTTTGGACGAGCGATCAGCTCTCGGAGCGGTATCGACGTGGAGAGCGTGCGCGCGGAGTTCCCACGTAGAAGCGACGTTGAATCACCCCGGCTTTTGCTGCCCACAAGGGGAACTCTATTAAGCCTGGGGATGCAACTAAACGATTGACGGCCGCGCGAGCTCTGTCCGGTTCGACGCTCAATAAACCAAAGTTACTCCAGATTTCGTGGCTACGGACGAAAGCGCCGTGGGCGTCTCATGGGCTGCGATGGGCGTGAAATCACCACTTGCAGCCCCATAGCGCCGCACGACGACCCTAGCGTGCATGGCCCCCAAGGCGACTCTCGGGGGGACGAACGAGGTCTGTCCGTCGGAAGAGACGCGACGCGAAACCGATTGCGTGGAGCGGAGAACGAGTCGTTTTGAGGGGTAAAATGGGTAGTTCGGCCCCCTCCAGACCCGTTTCTGGCGCTCCCGGGCGCAGCTCAGCGTCGGAGATCGCTCATAGACACCCCACGCGCCTCCGGTTGCGCGGGTCTGACCACAGAGTCAGAAGTCGTTGATCTGGCCTCCTCTCAAGAACCGGCGCCGCGCCGCGGTCCGGAGCCCGAACGTCTGCTGCGCCAGCAATAGGTCGCCTCGTTCCGTTTTTTCGCGGAGGCCCCGGGGGAAGGGGTTGGGATGGGCGGACGGCGAAAAGCGGAACGAGGCCCGCACCTGCCGCGACCGTGGACCGCCAGAACCGATTTCGAGGAGACGGACGCAGCCCGTGCGTCGCCGCATCGACGCCCGCAGCGAAGCGGCTTCGCCGGGTTCGTCCAGGGACCGGGGGCGACGCGCCGCGCCAGGCGCCGGCCCCGGGGAGCCCCATGGACGGCCGTCCCAAAATGGGCTGCTTCGAAAGAAACGACGGACACAGCTCCCGTGGCCCAGTCCCGTGAAGCACCCACCCCAGTCTAGATACAGATCCCCTTGCTGCCCAGGCCGAAGATCGTTGAAGACTTCATTGAAGCGCGCCTAGCGAAAAAAGCATAAACATCCATGACGATGCCGGTGCATTGCGGCTGAAGCCCGCGAGAACCCAAACCCGCCAGCTCCGCGAAACCTCATGCGGGCCGCCCTCCTCGCCCTCGCCGGGCTGCGCCGCTTCGCGGCCCCCACGCAGTGCCGCTACCGCTACGGCAGCGAGGAGTTCGTCTCCGCGGAGACGCTCGAGAACTACATCCTGGGCGACGCGGGCAACGAGCGCGGCGACCGCACGGACCTCTACGACGCGTCCGTGCGGCCCTCGTCCGCGGCCGCGGACGACCTGTACGCGGCGCCGACGGCCGTGTCCTTCGACTTCGAGCTCCTCGAGTTCCGCATGAACGAGGAGGACAACTCGTGGAGCATCGCGGGCGACGCGACGACGCGCTGGCTCGACCCGCGCCTGGCCTTCAACACGAGCGACGCGTGCACCGCGATCTGGCGCGTGTCGCCGAGCCACTGGTTCAAGGTCTGGCAGCCGAACCTCTACATCAAGAACCAGCTCGAGACGCCGACCGTCGCGACGACGGCGACGGCGACCATGTTCATCTCCGAGATGGGGGGCGTCACGTGGCGCTACCACCTCGTCATCCGCATGCGGTGCCTCATGCGCTTCAGCCGGATGCCCTTCGACACGCAGCAGTGCGCGATCATGGTCCAGTCGCTGAACTACGACGCCCGCCAGGTCGCGCTGGCCCGGACGTCGACGCTGAGCTTCGAGCAGCTCGACAACGACCGCCCCCTGACGAACGCGCAGTGGTCCGTCGAGTCGACGTTCTGCATGTCCCGCGCCGTCAACATCGTCTCGGGCGGCGTGCCCTTCGCGTTCTCGCAGCTCGCGCACGTCGTCGACATCCGGCGGCGCCACATGTACCACGTCAACGAGATCTTCATCCCCGCCTTCTTCTTCTTCCTCGTGACCTACTGCGGCTTCTGGATCGAGCGCACGAGCGCGCCCGCGCGCGTGTCCATCGCCGTGCTCCCCGTGCTCATCACGCACTCGTTCATCAACCACGTCTACGACTCGCTGCAGCAGCTGCCCTACTACACGGTGCTGACCATGTACCTGACGGCGCTGCAGTACTTCGGGATCCTCGCCGTCGTCGAGTACGCGGCGGTGCAGCACTTCCTCGCGCGGGAGCGCGCGGCGGCGAAGCGCCACTCGCAGCTCGCGAAGCTCCTCTCGAACATCGAGGCCGTCTTCGAGGACCTCGGCAGCCCCGCCGGCGGCGACGACGGCGGCGCCCGCGACGGCGACCTCGGCGCGCTCAACGCCGCCCTCGAGGAGCCGCCGAAGCCCGCGCTCGCGCGGAGGAAGTCGAGCCGCGGCGCGGAGTGCAGCCTCGTGCGCCTCATGTCCGCCAAGGGGTCGAACCCCGTCGCGGAGCGCGCCGTCGCCGCGGTCCGCGCGTGCTACGCGTCCGCGGACCTCGACGGCGACGGCCGCGTGTCCGTGCGCGAGTTCACGTTCGCCCTGCAGAACTACGGCATCTACGAGGTGCCTGCGCACGCGCGCCTCGCGCTGTCCAACTACCGCCACGCCGAGGGCGCCGACGACGGCGACGGCCACCTGACCGAGCAGGAGTTCGCGGGCTTCCTCCTGCGCTACGAGGACTTCCGCATCGCCGACATCTTCCCCAACGAGCTCGACTGGAGCCCGGCCCACTTCCTCTACCACCCGCGGTCGCTCCAGCTCGACATCTTCTTCCGCTGGACCTTCATCCCCGCGGCCGTCGCCGTGACGACCATCGTCTGCTTCTACGTCCACGGCGACAACGCGCTCTTCTCGGCGTAACACTGGCGTCGCCGTCGAGCGCGCGCTCGGGGCCGGGCTCGCGCGCGATCTCCGTCCCGTACGCGTCGTGGTCCCAGCGCGATACCCACGACCTCGAGTCTCGACGACTCGGACGCGCCCGCCCCGCGCGCGCCCGCACGAGCGTGGCGTGGGCACGTCGCGTGGTGGTCCGACGTGGGCTCGATGTCCGTGACGCGGCTGCCGCGCGGGCACGCGCCTTCGGCCCTTCGCCCTTCGTAAAAACGAGCGCCGCCTGCGTGGCCGAGCGCTCGCAGCTCGCAGTGGTACCGCGGGCCGCGAGGCCTTTCGCGGTGATATGGGAGATAGCAGGGCTTTACCACGCCGCCGGCGGGGCCCGGCGTGTTTCGGGACCGGGGGCGGGCGGCCGGTGAAGCGGAGGGAGGGAGGCGGGAAGGGAAGGGCGGGGCTGGGGTTGCGGTTTTTCGGACCGGCGTACGATGATGATGACGACGATGACAACGATGACGACGATGAATCAAACAAAGCTCGCCGGTCCGGGGCGGACGGCGCCTAGTACGGGGACCAGGGCATGTACGTCTCGCCGACGTAGTCGACGGGGTACTCGTACGACGTCGTGCCGGTGACCTCCTCGGCCTCGTTGTACAAGTCGCAGTAGCCCGCCGTGTACTTGGCGCACATGTCGTCCCCGTCCCAGACGGGGTTGCTGACGAAGGAGAGCGGGTCGAGGATCATGAAGTCCGAGAGGTCGCCGTTCCCGTAGAACTCCTGCGGCGCGGCGCCGATGGTGCACGAGTACGGGTGCGTCGGGTCGTCCACCGGGATGCAGAAGTGGAGGCCCCACGTGCGGCCGTGGGCGAGGGCCAGGCCGCCGGCCGCGGCCGAGGCCTCGCCGAACGCTTCCGCGTTCTCGGGGCTGTAGGTGTGGGCGAGGAGCGCGTTCGACTGGGGCTCGTACTTGTCGATCGGGCAGACGCCGAAGAAGTCGATCGTGCCGTCCTTGAGGGGCTTGTAGAAGGGCCACATCTGGCCGTTCTCCATGTGGGGGCCAGCCTGGTGGATGTGGAAGCAGGCCTTCGGGAGGCCCATGAACTTGGCGTCGCCGTCCGCGTCGCAGGGGTCGTACTCGATGGCGATGGCCGAGAGGTACGTGGCCTTGAGGGTGATGTCCGAAGCGTCGTACTTCGTGGGCTTGTAGATGATCGAGCCGCTCGCGGCTTCGTAGCCGGTGTCGTTGAGGGCGTAGAGGAAACCCTCGGACTCCCAGTGGTCTTTGAAGAAGACCGGGCCGTCCGCGGTCGAGCCGGTGGGGTCCTCGCCGAACTCGTAGTCCTCGGTGTCCGTCGTGTAGGCGGCGAGGTTGATGGCGAAGTAGGAGAAGTTCCCGGAGCCGGCCGACGACGCGCCCACGTTGACGCCGAGGCCCATGTTGATGAGGTTCGCGAAGTTGTGCGGGAAGAAGACCGCGCGGTAATTGCCGTACATGTCCGTGCCGGTCTCGAACAGGGCCTCGAGGCCCGCCTCCGAGTTCCAGACCTCGTAGATCTGCGCCCAGATGTCCTTCATGGACGCGCCGATGCCGTAGACGTCCTCGTCCGTGTCGAAGTCGAGCCCGCAGGCCACGTTCATGTTCGTGAGCTGGTACGGCTTGCAGATGTCGTTGATGTCGAGGCCCGAGCAGTAGGTCTCGTAGTCGAGGCCCGCCTCCGTGCACTGCACGACGCAGCCCTTGTCGGCCATGTAGTTCTGGGTCAGGCACAGCGGCGTGTACATGTTGCCGACGTCGACCTCCGCGGAGTCGCCCGACAAGATGATCTCGCGGGGGTACGACTTGGTCGTGTAGAGGCGCATGACGGGGCCCGTCTGCACCCAGTTGAGGCTGCCCGGCGCGTCGTCCGTCGACGGGGCCGCGAGCGTGCACGTGCTGGCCGCCGTGCTCACGTAGCCGAAGCCGGAGACGGCGGGGAGGGCGGCGAGGGCGGCGGCGACCTTCATGGTGGCTGCTTTGCGATCGACGGCGGGCGTGGACTGCGACGGCGACAAATTTGGGCTGCTGAAAAATCTATTCGTTTCAACATCGGTTGATCGCATGGATCTCATCCAACGCCAAGGTGACGCAGTATTGAAGGTACCTCGCCAGAGGGCAGCCCCTGGATAGAGAATAACATGGTGGGCGTCCCCGCGACGCTGTCGCTGCTCTTCGGGGCCCCGGGCCTCTGGTACCGGGAGACCATGCGCGAGACCCAGTCGGGCTTCCTCTGGGCCATCGACGAGGTGAACAACTCGACGGACTGGCTGCCGGACACGCAGCTCACGAGCTACAGCGGCATGACGAGTTGCAACCTCCTGAGCGGCATCGACCTCGGCAACGAGTGGCGCGCCGCGGCGCCTCGGCCCTCGTTCTCGCCGAAGACACCGTCCCATCGCCGAAGACACCGTCCCATCGTAGGCTCGCGGCGACGCCCGACGCGGAGCTCGGCGGCATCGTCGGCGAGTCGTGCAGCGACGGCACGATCGGGCTGAGCTACCCGAGCTACAGCAAGTCCGTCGCCCAGGTCTCCTACGCGTCGACGTCCAAGGACCTGAGCGACAAGACGCGCTACCCGCTCCTGAGCCGCGCCATGGCGAGCGACGCCGTCGGCATCGAGGCGCTCATCGCCGCGATGGACGAGTTCGCGTACGACTCCATCGGCGTGCTCACGGAGACGGAGTCGACGTTCAACGCGAACCTGCTGGAGGTGCTGAACCAGCTCTACGCGGACCGCGTGGCCATGTCCATCAGCATGGAGGCCACGATCGACCATTGGGCCGCGCGCTTCGGCGCGGACGTGCTGGGCCACGCCGTCGGGTCGAACCTCCGCGTCTGGGTCCTCCTCATGTACGGCGACATGCAGACGGAGATGCTCGAGATCTTGGCCGCGAACCACTCGCTGTCGGAGCACGTCTTCCTGACCAACAGCCAGGTCGACAACCACCGCAAGTCCATCCCCGACGAGTGCCGCGTCGTCTACGTGCGCGAGCGCGTCGCGGACGTCGACGCCTTCGAGGCGCGGTGGCAGGCGGACCTCCCGGAGAGCCTCCGGGAGAACTCGCCCCTCCGCTACCTCGTCGGCAACGGCTCCACGGCGGCGTCGCGCGAGACCTTCGAGCTCCACTCCTGGGCGGCCTACGCCTACGACGCGACCTGGGCGCTCGCCAAGGCCGTCCACGGCGCGGTCTACGACCGCGGCGCCTACAACGGCACGCTCGACGGCTACCTCGTCTCCGACGACCTGCGCGCGCGGGTCATACCGGACGCGGCCACGGGGCCCTGGCTGCTCGACGACAACGGCGACATCGAGCGCACCTTCGAGGTCGTCCACTGCAGGCCCGTGACGGGCGGCCGCCTCGTCGACGACGGCTGCGAGGTCGTCTACCACTGGAACGCGACGTCGGGGCTCGTCGCCGCCGTCGACGACCCGGACGCGGACATCCCGCCGGACCGCTTCGCGCCGTCGCGCATGGCGCCCTACAACAGCGTCATCGACGGCGACGCCGCCGTGTCGTGGTCCTTCGACGTCGACGCCGACCTCAGGGCAGGACAAGAGAGATTCAACGTCGCTTCAACGTGAGTGTTCCGCGCGCGCGCGTTCTGGAAAAAGCACCCACGCTTCGAGACCGTTCCGAGAGATGATCGCTCGTCCAAAAATCAGCCGAAACGAGCGGAAAACGACCGAGAGAGGAGCCTTTGAAGTTGGGAATTTCGCACCCTTGTCCTGCCCAGGCCGACCTCCGCGGCGCCGCGGTCGAGGACGTCCGCCTCCGGAGCTACGAGGGCGGCGCCTTCCAGTTCGAGGCGTCGCTCGGCGCCGCCGCGCGGTCCTACCCGCTGGCGACCCTGAGCCTGTCCGCCGCCGCCGTCGCCGAGTACAACGCGACGTGCGTGCGCACGTCCGTCGAGACGTCCGGCGGCGACGGCGCGTGGTCGAACGCGACGTGCGAGCTGTGCCACGCGGGCTACGAGCTCACGGCCGGCGAGACGTGCGGCGCCTGCGCGCCGGGCTTCTACAGCGAGAAGGGCGGCGTCTGCGAGCCCTGCGCCGTGGGCTCGTACTCGGCCTTCCGCGGCGCGACGGTCTGCGAATTCTGCGTGGGCGCCGAGTTCCAGCCCCTCCCCGGCCAGGCGGCCTGCGAGGCGTGCCCGCGCAACTCCTACCGCGACCTGAGCCTGCTGACGCCCCACACGCTCGAGAGCTGCGTCTGCGTCGAGGGCTCGTACGCGCCGTACGTCAACGCGACGGGCACGGAGTGCCTCGACTGCCCGTCCTACGGCGAGTGCCCCGGCGGCACCGCGCCGCCCCAGCCGAAGAAGGGCGCCTACGGCTACTCCCTGAACCAGCTGCAGAAGAAGGGCCTCGAGCCGCCCATCCGCTACGCGCTCTGCGAGCCGGGCCACTGCACGGGCGGCTACCCGGCGAACGGCTGCGAGCGGGGCTTCGAGGGCAAGCTCTGCGAGCGGCCCGTCAACGACGAGTACTTCCTCGTCGGCGAGGACCTGTTCTCGTGCCCGGAGAACGACGCGGGCATGTTCCTCCTCTACGGCGTCGTGCTCGCGCTCCGCCGCGCGGGACTCGAACCTTCGATCCGACTTCAATGTAAGCGACCGTTTTCACACGAGCGCTTCTGTGGTGCTTCGAGAACTCGACGAGAGCCATCGATTCGTCCAAAAGTTACTCGAATCGACGTCGACGTGTCCGAAGTTTGGCGGGGACCCCCCGAACCGGCGGTCGACGTCCACGCAGGTGCTCTGGATCTGCATCAACGTCTTCGTCTGCGAGGCGCTCCCGACGGTGGACCAGGCCATCACCATGGGCCAGATCGTCGCCGTCATCTACGAGAACTCGGGCGTGGCCTTCCCGTCGCAGCTCAACTACCTCCACACCCCCTTGCAGGTGCTCCTCTTCGACGTCAACATCGTCACGCCCGAGTGCTTCGGCTTCAAGTACCACGTCGCCGACGGCCTCGTGTTCCAGCTCATGGTGCTGGCCCTCTTCGCGACGTGCTACGCGCTGCCCTTCCTCGCGCTGCCCGCGCGCGCGGCGCTCGCCAGGGCAGGACAAGAGAGCGAAATTCCCAACTTCAAAGGCTCCGATCTCGGCCATTTTCCACTCGTTCGGCTGATTTTTGGACGAGCGATCATCTCTCGGAACGGTCTCGAAGCGTGGATGTTTTTTCCGGAACGCGCGCGCGCGGAACACTCACGTTGAAGCGACGTTGAATCACTCTTGTGCTGCCCAGGCGCTCGCCGCGGCGCTCCCGGGCCGCGTCGCGCCGCCGCCGGGCGCGGGCGCGGCGACGCGCGAGCCCTGGTACTCCCACTTCCACCCGGTCTACGGCGAGGCCTACTCCGGCTTCTTCAGCCGGCTCTTCCGCATCACGGCCGTCTGCTACGTGTCCATCGCCATCTCCGCGTACGAGGTCTTCCCCTGCCGCCACGTGCTCGGCGAGAAGCTCATGGCCGGCAACGTCGACGCCGAGTGCGGGGGGACCGCGCACAAGGCGGACATGCTCGTCGGCACCCTCACCTTCGCGGCCATCGTCGTCGGCTTCCCGCTCGCCGTCGTCGTCCACCTCTACGCTTCCAAAAAACGCTACGGCGGCCTCCACACGCCGCACCTCCTCGCGCGCTTCGGCTCGTTCTACGGCGACTACCGCAGCGACGTCCAGGTCTACTGGTACGGCTTCGAGACGACGGCCGTCGTCGGCGTGTGCCTCGCCTGCGTGTGCTTCACGTCCGCGGCGCTGTCGGTCGTGCTCACGACGACGATCGTCTTCGTCATGTACCTCGCGGCCTTTGGGGTGCGGCCCTACACGGGCATCCTCCAGACGACCATGGCCCACGACCTCTACTGCTGCGGCCTCATGTTCTGCGCGGGGTCCGTCCTGCTGCTCGAGGACGACGGCTCGCGGACGACGGTCGGCGACAAGACGCTCGGCGAGCTCTACATCCACTGCAGCGTCGCCCTCTGGTTCTACGCGCTCCGCCACTCGTTCACGGAGTTCGTGGAGCTCGGCGTCCATACGCGCATCGACGAGCGCCTCAAGGGCGTCTTCGACGAGCCCGAGCCCGACGCGCTCCTCCCCCGGACGCCGCGCGCGTCGAAGCTCGCCCAGGACCTCATCAAGCAGGCCACCGAGGGGTCGAACGTGCCCGACGACGTCCGGGACGCGGCGGCCTTCTTCCGCAAGAACCGGCAGCTCCTGGGGCACCTCGACGACAACGTGTCGCGCCTCGCGGACCCCGCGGCCTACCTCGCGGCCGTCGGCGCGGCGCTGGAGCCCTACGTCGCGGACACGTCGCCGCTGTCGGCCTACAGCAGCGACCGGCGCGCGTCCTACTGGTGCCGCGTCGCCGCGGCGATCCCGAACCTGCTCCACTACGCGACGTCGATCGACGACGCGCACCGCGCGCACCTCTTCCAGGCCTTCCGGGAGCTCCAGGTGCGCGAATCGGAGACGGCGCTCGCGGATGTCGTGTTGACCAGGTTCCGGGGGCCCCTGCTCCACGCGCTGCTGTCCGCGCCGCCGGCGGAGGCCGCGCGGATCCGCGAGTACGCGCTCGCCGTCGTCGCCGCGCGGCCCGGCGACGTCGCGGGCGGCGCGTTCGGCGCCGCCGTGGCCGTCGGCGACGGCTTCGAGGGCGCGGTGGCGGCGGCCGCCCGCGCGATCGCCCCGCGGTCGCGCGGCGGCGCGCGCGCCTCGCGGCCGGCGGCGATGAGCCGAGACGCGTCCGTCGCGTCGCTCAACTGCAGCCGGCGCGAGTCCACGTTCAGCGCCCTCGAGGACCGCGCGCTGTCCGCCGCCGCCGCCGACGACGAGGACCAGCAGGCGATCCTCGAGTCCATGAAGGCGAAGATCGCCGCGGGCGTCGCGGACCGCCACCGCGACGAGGAGGCCGCGTCGGCGGACGGCGAGTCGCCCGCCGGCGTCCAGGTGACCCTGGCCCTCGGCCTGCCGACGAACGGCGTCTGCTGTCGCACGGCGTGCGATGCGGGCGAGTAGCCTCCTTCGACGTCCTCGACGCGGGCTCGACGGGCCGCGGCGCGCGCCTACCCCCCCCGCGTTTCGATCGCGAAGAAGCGCGAACACGGCTCCCCCACGTGCGATCGCCAAGAAACAGACGACCGTGCGGCTCCCTCCACGCCGGCGGCGTGGCGTAAGCAAGGTACGTCGCGACGACGCGCAACGTGGCCGCGTTAGACGAGCTCGACGTCGTCCATGATGAGGTCCGAGGACGAGTCGACGCGGTCGCGGAGCGGGTCGTCGGCGGCGGCCGCGCGGCCCGGCGGGCCCGGCGCGGCGCCGTCGGGCGGGTCGGGCCACCGGCGCTGCCTCCGGAGGCGCGCGGGCATGACGGACTTGAAGTCCTTGACGATGTCGTTGATCGCGAGCTGGTCGCCGAGCGACGACGCGGCGACGCGCACGGGCACGTAGTCCGCCTGCCACTCGTCGGCGCCGAAGATGGCGGAGTGCGCGAGCGCCGCGACGAACATCTCGACGCAGACGAGGAAGTTCTGGAAGGCCTTGGCCAGGCCCGCGTCCGCGAGCGGGCCGAGCTTGAAGCGGAGCGCGAGCGTGATGAGCACGCCCTGGAACCACGTCATGAAGACGACGCCCTTGATGGACAGGAACTTGGGCCAGGGCCGGTGGGCCTCGAGGCGCGGCGACGCGTGGGTCGCGTGGAAGAACTTGAGGAGCGCGGTCAGCGCGACGGACACGGACACGTTGAGCAGGATCGTGATCCAGAGCTCGGGCTTCCGCCAGTCGACGAGCTCGCCGCCGCCGAGCGCCGTGTAGCTGAAGGCGTAGTCGAGCACGCTCAACGCGGGCTTGACGACGACGAACTGGAGCGTGCCGAGCTTGCAGTCCCGCAGGAACCGCTGCCGGCTCACGCGCGCCGCGCCAAAGACCGCGAACGGCGCGCGCGGCGCCGCGGGCAGCTCCTCCAGCGCCCGCTCCTCGCCGCCGCCGCCGCCCAGAATCGCCACGAGCAGCGCGAAGAACATGTGCACCGTGTAGGCCTCGTAGATCGACGACACGAGCAGGAACTCGCCCGCGGCGCCCGGCCACACGATCGCGAACCACGAGCAGAGCGCGTAGATGGGCACCATCCATAGAATCGCCAGCACCTTGCGCTGGGCCTCGGGCCGGTTCAGCTTCGTCGCGTGGGCGTAGACGTGGCGCAGCGTGAGGACGACGGCGAGCAGCGCGAAGAAGCCCGCGATCCACGCGCGGAGCAGCGCCGACTGCTTCTCGAAGCGGCCGTCGGTCCGCTCCTCGTAGCTCGTCACGGACCCCTCGAGCGCGTCGACGCGCGCGTAGGACTCGGCGATGCGCGCCTCGAGGGCCGCCGCCGCGGCGTCGATGGACGCGAGCGCGGCCGCGAGCGAGTCCGCGTACGCGCGCTCCTCCGCCGCGAGCGCGGCGAGCGCGCCTGCGCGGAACCCGCACCTTCGACCCGACGTCGATGCGCGCGCCGTCGAACGGATCGGACCAGAGGGCGCTCCGTCGAGCACTCGACGAGAGCCCACGACTCGTCCAAACATCAGCCGAATCGTCGACGCGACCGAGCTCGAGCGTTCTCGAGTTCGGCCGGGACCCCCCGAACCAGTGGGTGGCGTCCACGCGGCGGCGCGCGGTTCGTCGTCGCGTTGACCCGCGCGGCCGCGCCCGCCGCGAGGCCGTCGGCCTCGGCCCGGGCGACGGCGGCGGCCGCGAGGAGCGCCGCGGAAGCGTTCTCCGACGCGCCGAGGCTCAGGTCCGCGGCGGCGACGGCCGCGTCGACGCGCGCCGCGGCCGCCGCGCCCGCGGCCGCGACGGCGCCGACCGCGTCGGCGCCCGCGGCGCCGAGGGCGGCGCCGAGCCGCGCGGCCGTCGCGTTCGCCGACGCCGCCAGGCCGGCCTCGGCGGCGCCGACGGCGCGCTCCGCGGCGTCGAGCACCGCGGCGGCCGCCGCGTCGTGCGCGGAGAGCGACGCCGCGACGGCGCCGCGGACGCGGCCCTCGGACGCGTTGAGCGACGCGGCGACGGCGGCCTCGCTCGCCGCGGCCGTCGCGTCGACGGCCGCGACGGCGCCGCGCACCTCCCGCTGCAGCGCCTCGTTCGTGACGACGAGCTCCCTCTCCGCGACGTAGGCGCCGAAGGCCCCGGCCGTCGCCGCCGCCGAGGCCCGCGTCGCGTTCACGGCGGCCCAGAGCGTCGCCTCCGCCGCCGCGGCGCGCGCGTCGGCCGCGGCGGCCGCGGCCGACGCGCGCCCGGCGGCCGCGGCGCGCGCGTCGCCCGCGGCCGCGTCGGCCGCGGCGCCGGCCGCGACCGCGGCCGCGAGCGCGTCGACGGTCGCCTCGAGGTCCCCGACGCGCCGCGCCGACGACCGCGCGGCCGCCGCGCCGGCGTAGCCGAGGCCCGCGACGGCGAGCAGCACGGCGACGACGGCCGCCGCGGCGCCGCAGCAGGCGCCGCGCGACCGCCGTTTCTCCTGCGGCGCGCGGCTGCTGCGGAGCAGGCCGTTCTGCCCATTCGTGTCGCTGTCCGACGAACTCATGGGGAGCTGCGCATCGTGCTTTGTTTGTTCTCCTCCACAACCGCTCGACACCCTCACCAACCTCCGCCGCGACGGCTAGGGGGCGGCCTCCGGCCGCCACCTGGCTCGGCTCGCCGAGGTACCCCACGTTCGAACCCCCCTGGATAAGCGCCTCCACAACCGCTCGCCGGGGTCGTGGCCTCGGTCGCGCCCGGACGACACGGCTTCGGAGGAGGCCTCGCGATCATCTTACGTCGTCGCCCCGCCGCGGCGGCGCGAGGTTCCGGTCGGCGAAGGCGCCCGCGAGGAGCGCGACCTGGCCGAGGCCGAAGGCGTCCGGTGACCGTTCGAAGCAGACGGCGAGCGCGGCGAAGAGGCGCCGGTCCGCGTCGCCGTGGTCGACGTCGGCGACCGGCCGGCCCGCGGCCCGCGCGCGGCGCTCGCCGTCGCGCGAAAAGCCCGCCGCGAGCGCGGCGACGTGCGCGGGGTCGGCGAGCGCGAAGCCGCGGACGCGCGCGACGGCCTCGTCGGCGACGGCGGCGAAGAGGGCCGGCGCCGCCGCGCCGGCCGTGCCGAAGGCCCAGGCCACCTTGGCGAGGTCGCCGTCGGCCATGGCGCCGACGCGCGGCGCCGCCTCGCGCGCGAGGAGCGCGAAGAGCTCCGGCGCGCGCGCCGCGGCGCCGTCCGCCGCGAAGGCGGCGGCGACGTCGGCGAGGGCCGGCGCCGCGCGCCGGCGCGCGGCCGAGGACGCCGACGAGGCGCGCGAGGACGGCGGGCTCGAGGGCGTCGCCGGCGAGCGCCGCGGCCCGCAGCTTGTCGCGCGACGCCGCCGCGAGCGCCGCGTAGACCTGTGTGGAAATCAACCACTGGTTTGGGGGGTCCCCACCAAACTTCATAACTCTTTATCTCAATCAAATCGAAGTCGATTCGGCTGATTTTTGGACGGATCGATTGCTCTCGTCGAGTTCTCGAAGCACAGCGAAAGAGTCTGGTCCAAATCGTTCGCGCACATTGAAGTCGGGTTGAAGATTTGATTTCCACACAGGCGTAGACGGGCGACGCGCCGTCGAGGCCCCACGTCGAGAGCGCGCCCGCGGCCGCCGCGAGCTCCGCGAGCGACAGGCGCCCCGCGCGCCGCGCGGCCGCGTCCGCCGCGAGGGTCACGACGCGCGCCTCGCCGGCGCGGCACGCGCCGCGGCGCGCGCCGAGGCGCACGAGGCTCCGGAGGAGCGAGACGACGGCCGCGCCCGACGCGGGCGCCGCGGGCGCCGCGGGCGGCGCCGCGGCATCCGCGACGCCCGCCTCGGCCTCGAGGCGCGCGCCGACGTCGGCGACGAGCCCGAGGAAGCCGCGGTCGCCGCGGAGCGCCGCGCGCCGGCCGCCGGCCCAGGTCGCCGACGCGACCGCGACGACGCGGACCGCGGCCGCGAGGCGGTCGATTCCGCCGGCCTCGCCCCGCGCGAGGAGCGCCGCGTGGAGGTCCAGGACCGCCGCGGGGTCCGCGCAGGCCTCGTAGGTCGCCGGGAGCATCGGGCCGGACGTCGGTGACGCCGTCGACCTCGATCGCTTCGCGCGCGCCTTGTACGAGTTCCGGTCGACGACGAGCGCCCGCTTGTGCACGCCTCGCCTCCGCGGTTGCGAACGGCGAGTCCTTGGACGCGAACAAGAGTTTTCACGTCGAGCGCGGCGCGCCGATCTTTTTAGAACACGCGGTCCTGACTTCGTGCGAGTCGGCCCGTGTGTGAAACAGTGTGGAAACCAACCATAGGCGGAGGACCCCCCATAGCGTAAAAGTTAGATTAAGGTTAGGGTTAGATTAAGGTTAGGGCGATTTCGCCGGCGCACCCCTCCTGACACCTCTACCGCCGCGCGCGCGCGCGCCATACGTCCGGAAATTCTTAAAAAATTTTCGACTCAACTTCCTGAGAAAAGCTCAAATCCGAAGAGTTTTCGCGTGGACCTTAATCTAACCCATCTCACAGCTATGGCTCCGGCGCCGTGAGCGCGCGCATAGACGCAGCGGTCCAACGATGTCCGATTTGGACCCGCCGATTTTTGTCAGTCGTCTCCGTCGCCCGAGCTGTCCGCCGGCAGCGAGGGGCGCGCGTTTCCGGTGCCGGAATGTTCGGTTTAATTTTGCGCCGCTTAGCTCGACCTTAATCTAACTTTCACTCTAGAAGTATTATTTATTATTCTGAGGCGGGAGGCGTTACTCCTCCATAGAGGTGCTCCGTCGACGACGGCGTCGTCACTTCGTTATCACGACCCATGTTTGAGCAGCACCATACTCGTTGATGGGCAGCGTGTGGCTCCACTCCGTCCGGTCCGTGGCGTAAAAGAAGAAGTAGCGGTCCGGGGCGCCCTCCTGGAGTCGCCCGCCAAATTTGCGCTTGAAGGTCGAGGTGTCCCAACCATCCTCCCAGAGATGAGCGAGACGCTTGTTCCGCCACCACGTCTTGTTCGAGCAGAGCGCGTCCCAGGCCCCCTGCGTCTCAGCGGGCTTGTCGACGAGAGAGTAGCCGGCAGGTACTGTGAAGGGGCCCCAATGCGATTGCAGGCGCTCATCATCCAGATCTTCGTCTCCGACGGGTGCATCCTCGTCTTCTGGAGGACGGCCTCGAAGTACTCGGCGATGGAGTTGTCCTTGGCCGCGTCCGCACATGCTAGGGCATGCCTGTGGGCGATGCAATGCACGAGGAGCATGAAGGCGTTGGCCAAGTGCCGCACGAGGACCCCGCAGCCGCCCTGGTCCCCAATAAAAGAAACATCTAAAACCCCCAGCTGATATTCTCCTCAATGTGACGTCGCAGCCCGAGCCGCGCGTGAAGGGACGTAGTGCGACCGACCCACGGACCGCTCCTTCGGACTCCCTAGCTGGTTTAAGGAGCTGTTTTACGTGTACGTCCCGGAGGACTATCCTGGCAAGATTTTGGTTTTCACACTGGTGTGAAACTCACGAGCTGCATCGACATTGAAGCGGCCAAAACTCGAGCCTGCATCGACATTGAAGCGACCAAAACGCCATTCATGCAGCTCTCCCAACCAAAAAAAGGGGAGCCCGCCCCCGCGACGCCACAGGACACTGGCTTAGCGGCTCCCGCGCGCGCGCGCTCGCGCCGCCCCCCCGCGAACGGGCGAAGAATCACAGCTTCGTCTTGGGCAGCTCGGCGTGTCGCGGGTTCCAGGGCTTGCTGGCCTTGGGCGCCTTGTCGGCGGCCTTGGGCGCCTTGCCCTGGGGCGGCGCCTTGACGGGCGCGAGGTCGCGCGGCGTCTTCGGCTTCTCGTCGTCCGCCGCGCGCGCGTCCCGCTTGAGCTGGGCGAGGCGCCCCTTCTTCTCGTTGATCTGCCGTTTGTAGTCCTCGACGCGGTCGATGCGGTCCTCGGCCTTGAGGTCCTTGTTCGCGACGGCCTTGTCGACGCGGGCCATGAGGGCGTCGACCTCCTTCCGCAGCTGCTGCCGTTCGAGCTTCGGGTCGATGTGGCCCATGCCCGCGCTGTTCCACGACGACCCGACGAGCGACGAGCCGACCATGGTGGAGTTCCGTCGGCGTCGGCCGCAGCGCGCGCTGCGCGGCGTCCCAACGAATGCGGAGGCTGCCCCGCCGCGGACCAGAGGTGCAACAACCGCTCTTTTACCTCCCGCGCGAACGGCGAGCTCCCGGGCGCCGACTCCCTTACCCGGCGCTCGGCCGCCGGTCCTCGGGGAGGCCGAGGCCCTCGGCGCCCGGCCGCGCCCGCCGCCCGCCTGCCTCGTCGGGCCCCGGCCGCCAGCCGCCGTGGTCCGGCTTGCCGTCGCGCTTCGGGAGCGCGTACTTGACGTGGTCGAGCTTCTCGCAGTCCCGGGACGTCTCCCGGTCGTGCCAGTTCGGGTCGCCGACGGTCCGGTTGTCGACGACCTTCTGCATGCGGTCGGCGTTTACGCCGCAGCCCGTCTTCGCCTGCCACGCCGCGTTCTCCGCGCGGAACGCCGCGACGGCCGCGTCCGTGACGCGGTAGCAGCAGCGCTTCCAGGCGAAGACCTCCTTCGCCGCGGCGTAGAAGAGCTCGTCGAGGCTGTTGCGGTACCGGGCGTTTGCCACCGTCGCCGCGTCGAGGTACCGCGGGTGGTTCAGCGCGCCCTTCGTCGACCGCCGGTGGCAGTACGTCGCGTCGGGCAGGCCCGTCTCGGCCTGGAGCACGAGGAGCGACGCGTCGAAGTCCTCGACGATGCCCACGAAGAGGCGCGGCTGGCGCAGGATCTGCATCATGCGCTCCTTGAGCACGCGCTCGCCGCCGAGGCACATCGCGCCGACGGTGACGTGGCCGAGCTCGTGGCGCGGCCGCGGGATGAGCGACACGTTCGCGCCGGGCACGCCGCCGCCGCAGGCGGCCTTGCGGCTCCCGGCGATGAGCTGGCTGAACTGGTGGTTGTGCCGCGCGCGCCGCGACTCCACGTACTCGCCGAACGTCACGCAGCGGTGCCACTCGCCGAACGGGCCGCTGAGCGCGGACCGCACGTAGAAGAACTGGCTCAGCAGCTTCGCCGTCGGGTCCCGCGCCATGGCCACGAAGTAGCGGCCCCGCCACTTCTTGCTGTCGCTGTCGAAGTAGTGGCCGTAGGCCTGCTTGCCCGGCCCGTGGAGCTCGACGCCGCCGTAGCGCGTCTTGATCACGCTCCGCAGCGTCGTGCCCGCGTTCTTGGCGATGTGGTAGTGCACGAGGTCGTGCCACTTCCGCTTGCCGCTGCGGTCGCGGCTCGGCCCGCGGCTGCCGAAGGCGGGGCACTCGCGGCCGCAGCGGCCCGCGAGCGCCGCGGCGACCGCGAGCGCCGCGACGGCGGCGCGCATCGCTCGCGGTGGTCGTGCGCGCGAAGCGGCGCGCGAAGCGGCGCTGCGCGGCTCGTTGCGGCGCTGCGGTCGCGCGCACGGCGGATGCGCGTCACGACTCGCGCGCAACTTTTTGTCGAGGCTGTGTCGCCGGCGCCGCGAGATGGCGCCGCGACGTCGACGTCGGCAGAGAGGCAATGTAGGCCTCAATGTGACGTTGAGCACCGACGGGGTCGATCGCGTGGTCGATCGCCCGTGCTGTCCCCGGCGGGGAAGCGACGTCGCCGCCACGGCGCCCCTTTTTAGCCGACGCGCTCGCCCGCGGGGTCGTAGGCGGGCCCCTCGGGCCGGGGCTTGCGCTTCGGCGGGGGCCCCTTCGGGAGGCGCTCGACCCAGAGCGTGTAGGCCCAGCGCTCGCGGAGCTTCGCCGGGAGGACCTCGTGGGTGACCGTGCGGGCGAAGAAGAGGACGAGGCGCCCCGGCGCCGGGAGCAGGTCCGTGAGCGCGCCCGGCTCGCCGTCGGCCGGCGCGTGCTTCGGCCGGCGGTCGAGGTGCATGCGGAGGTGGCCGCCGTCGTCCTCGGTCCAGTCCGGGTTGAAGTAGAGGAGGCACGAGAGGAACCGGTAGTTGTAGGTCTCGTGGCTGTACCAGTCGCTGTGGGGCACGTACTTGGAGCCGTCGGGCGGGTAGACCGCGACCATGACGTTGCCCGGCACCATGAGCTCGAGCCCGCCCGCGGCGGCGTCGACGTCGTCGGCGAGGCCCGCCATGAGCTCGAAGGCTTTCTTCACGGCCGGCGGCTCGGCGCCGAACTGCGCGCGGCGCTCGTCGTCCCTGACGGGCAGGAGCGCGGACGCGCAGCCGACGTTGCACGCGTCCTTGGACACGTGGCTGAGCACGCCCGTCCGCAGCTGCGTCGAGTAGTGGTCGTAGAGCGCCCGGGACTCCGCCGCGTCCAGGCACCCGTCGATGACGCAGTAGCCGCGGCGGAAGAGGTCCGCGAGGGGCGACGACCCGCCGACGGGCGTCCGCAGCCGCGCCCGCGCGGACTCGGACGCGAGGGCCGGCGGGGCGACGAGCACCTTGTTCCGCTCCTGGCGCACCATGCCCCGGAAGACCTCCTTGAAGAGCAGCCCCGCCAGGTTCGACGTGATCTCCGCGAAGTTGCGCTCGAACTCGCAAAAGGGCCAGGGCCGCTCGACCGTGCAGCCCTTGAGGATGCCCGTCGCCGCGAGCGCGCGGCGGCCCGCCTCCGTCCGCGCGAAGTCCGTCGCGGGCCGGAGCTTGGCGCCGACGACGAGGGAGCTCGCCCGCTGGATGCTCTCGCTGATGTCCATGGGCGTCGGCTTCCTGCCCGGCGCGAGCACGTCCTTGGCCGCGACGGCCTGCACGAGGAGCTTCGTCTTCGAGTCCCAGCCCTTGGTCGTCATGGGCAGCAGCACCGCCCAGGCCTCGCACCACGCGCCGGACGCGACGAGCTCCGCCTTCTTCCGCTCGAGGGGCTCGAGCGCGACCTGGGCAGCACGAGAGTGATTCAACGTCGCTTCAACGTGAGTGGTCCGCGCGCGCGCGTTACGGAAAAAACATCCACGCTTCGAGACCGTTCCGAGAGATGATCGCTCGTCCAAAAATCAGCCGAAACGAGTGGAAAATGGCCGAGATCGGAGCCTTTGAAGTTGGGAATTTCGCTCTCTTGTGCTGCCCTGAGCGCGACGGCGTCGGGGTCCTCGTGGAGCTGGAGCCGCGCGAGCCGCAGGGCCGCGCCCGCGGCGAGCGACGCGCCCCGGGGCCACGCGTCCGCGGCCCGGGCGGGGTACGCGCGCGGCGCGGCCGGCGGCGCGGGCCGGCCCCCGGCCGCGGCGGCCGGCGCCTCGCGCGCGGCGGCGCGCGGCGGCGCGGCGGCGGGCGGCGGCGCGGAGCGATCGCCGCCGCCGTCCGCGACGGCGCGGTCCAGCGCCGCGACGGCGCCGCGCGGCAGCGCCGACCGGCGGTCCTCGCCGCCGCCCGCGACGGCGCGGTCCAGCGCCGCGACCGCGCCGCGCGGCAGCGCCGCCGCGGCCGCCGCCGGGGCCGCGGGCGGCGGCGGCGGCGCCGCCGCGCTCTGGGCGGACCGCGCGCTGCGGAGCGCCTCGCGCCAGCTCTCGGCCTTGGCCTGGAACCGGGGCCGCAGCTTGCCGCCGGACTCGTAGAAGCGCTCGATGTCGCGCCGCGACCAGCGGTCCACGGCCTCGGCGGGCAGCGCGACGCCGACGTGCAGCCGCGCGAGGTCCGCCGCCAGCGCCGCCTTGCTCTCCTGCTCCCACTCGGACGTGACGCTCCGCATGGCGCGGCTGCGTCCCGTCCGAGTGGCCTATATTGTGCGAGCTTCGACGCCGGGCTGCTGGTGCCATCACGGTCCTGAAGTCCTTGAGGACTGAGGTCGGTGGAGCCGCGAGATTGCCACAAACCCTCCCAGCGCCTCGCTGCCACAAGCTCCGCGTGTCCGCAGCCTCCGCGTCGAGACGCCACCCAGACACCATGTTCGCGCGCCTCGTCGTCGCCCTCGCCGCCGTCGCGCCGCTCGCGTCGTCGACGGACGAGGCCGGCAAGGCCTGGCTCGCGGAGAAGGCGACGGAGGCCGGCGTCATCTCGCTGCCCAGCGGCCTCATGTACAAGGTCCTGCGCGAGGGCGACGGCGACGCGCACCCGCTGCCCGGCACGTCCTGCAGCTGCCACTACGCGGGCACGCTCATCGACGGCACGACGTTCGACAGCTCCTACGACCGCGGGAGCCCGACGTCGTTCGCGCCGAACCAGGTCATCGCGGGCTGGACCGAGGCGATGCAGCTCATGGTGAAGGGCGACAAGTGGGAGATGTACATCCCGTCGGAGCTCGGCTACGGCGACCGCGGGAGCCCGCCGAAGATCCCCGGCGGCGCGCCGCTCGTCTTCACGATGGAGATTCTGGAGATCAACGGCGCGACGACGCCCGCGGCGCGCTGCGACCCGGCGACGAAGAAGGGCTGCGACGCCCGCGAGCTCGAATACGTCGCCAAGCAGGCCGCCAAGGACGCGCCCGCGCGCGCCAAGGAGCTCGCGCGCCTCGCGGGCATGAAGACCGGCGGCACGAAGCCCGAGCTCGCCGCCTGGCTCGGCAAGCGCAAGGCGATCCTCCAGAAGATGGTCGACGGCGAGCTCTAGGGGCGCGCCCTAACGGAGATCATCGCGCCGGGCGCTCCGGCCCCGATCTCGGGCCCGTCGCGGCCGGCTCGCGCCCGAGATCTCCCGCGGGTACCCGAGCCCCGCGGCGACGAGGGCCTCTCGGGAGCTCGACGAATTCGAACGACCAACTGAAGGGAATTTCTACTACACCGAAGGTTAAACAGCCAGAACGAGGCGGACATGGTTGGCACTGTGATAGACGGGGACGGCAACGTTGCTGTGCCCGTGTTCACGTAGGACGCCGCGAAGAGGTCCGCGGCGTCGCAGACCCAGCGCGCGGGGAGGAAGCCGCCGCCGCCGCCGCCCGTGACGTACATCTTCGCGCGGTCGACGGAGTAGGCCGCGTCGACGGTCTCGACGAGGTCGCGGAGCGCGGCCTCCTCCCACTTGAAGTTCTCCCAGGCCTCGTTGCCGTCTTCCTCGTCGAACCACTGGGTCTCGTCGTTGCCGCAGAAGGCGCCCTTGATGCAGGCCGTGCCGCCGGGCGTGCCCGCGTAGTAGCGGCCGCTGAAGTTCTCGGGGAAGAAGGCGTGCGCGTTCTCCGTCTTGTACGCGTAGGCGTCGTCCTGGCTCATGCGGTAGAGGGAGCGGTCGTTCATGTTCCCGCCCGTGCGGCCGTTGGGCACGGCGACGACGTACTCGAGCTCGTCGACGGCCCACTCGAGCATGTCCGTCTCCGAGTAGTTCGTCGTCTCGCCCGTCTCCGGGTCCGTCGACTTGCACGCGCCGAAGAAGTGGCACGTGACCTGCTCGCTCGTCGTAACGTCGACGCCGAGCGCGGCGGCGAAGCGCGCAAGCCGGACATGCGCCGATGCAGCGGCGGCGTCGAGGCGTGAGCGGCGGTGTCGAGGTCCCTTTTGAAGGGCAAGCGGCGGTGTCGAGGTCCCGAGGGCGCGGCGCTCTCTACCGCCTTCTTAGATCTCGGGCCGGTCGTGGCCGCGCATGACCGCGGGCGCGGGCAGCGAGATCGCGGGCGCGGCCGGCGGCCGGTCGGCCGCCGCGGGCGCGGCGCGCTTCGCCCGCGTCTCCGTGCGCTCGACGCGCACCTTCGAGTCGAGGTAGCGGTCCAGCGACCGCAGCGCGTCGACGCGGTCCGGGAAGAGCACGTAGAGGACCGACGACCCGTTGACGTACGTCGCCTCGAGGCGCCGCGCCGAGCCGTCGCGCCGCGTCACCGTCGCGTCGGAGAGGTGCGCGTTGAGGTTCGCG